AGGGTATCAGGAAAGGCTTCATGTTGAAAGTGAAGATACTGATTAAGAATGAATGGTTCATGCTTGCTTCAAGGTGATTGAACTATATCTTTCAGAGAGAGATTGTAAAAGGCAGAGGTTATGAGGGAGGACATTCCAGGCATGGGGTATGGCCAGTGACAAGACACAGAGATGGGAGATAGAATATTATGAATGAGGATCAGAGAGAGAAAAATCCAGTTTGGTTACATTGCAGAGTGCAGGAAGTGATTTATGTTCAATAAGGCTTAAATGAGAGGTTGAGGCCAGGTTGTGAAAGACTACTTTGTATTCTTTTCTTGGATTTTGTCTCATGTGAATTTCTGAATGCATCAACTGATATTCTTCTTGCTTCATTGGCTGTTCTCTCTCTATAATATCACTTTGGATATGGACATAGACAGTCTTCTTTGATTCTTTGAGAACATGGAACTATCTATACTTTAAAATGCAACTTCCTTTTAGATTCTGGTTTCATTGGAAGAGAAAATGCCAAGATTAATATGACTCAATATAGTATATACCTGATTATATCCACTTGGTCACTGTACATGGTCTCAATTTTAGAGTGCCAACAGTGAAGTTAGGATTTAAAGATAGTCCATAATCTTTGTGAGCAGAGTATTCTCTGTTCCCTTCCCCCTTCCCCACCATTTTGCAGTGATCACTGCAGAAGTGGAGGGTATTACACAGAAATATGGGCCATTTGGTATTTTTCTTTGTTTTGTGCCAAAATAATTCATCTCCAAGAGGTCAGGACAGTGAAGTAGAAAAAATGCTGAACTTAATGGTGCTTAGTTGAAGATTAATAATAGAAGCTTTTCTGTTTGTTTTTCCCCATTTCTTAAAGATACTGGCTTAAAAAAAAAGCTTTCCAAAAATTGAGACCTATAATTTGATTGGTATAGGGCAAGCGCAGGGGAACCTGTGGCCTTCCAGGTCCTTGGGTGCAGTCTTTTGACTGAGTCCAAGTTTTGTAGAACAAATTCTTTTATTAAGGTCATTTGTTCTGTGAAGTTTGGATTCAGTCAAAGGGTGACACTTGAGAACCTAGAGGGCTACATCCCTGCCTGAGGCTGTTTCCCTCTTCTAATGTAGATTAGCATCTCCTCTGCAATTTCCCATCTTAGTTGCTTGGTTCAAGTACTACTTGCTCAGAGTTATAGAGTCAGTCATTTTCTGTCCAGCTGTACTCCTGAATCATGGCCTCCAGAAACTCATCATCTTGAAAAATAATAAATGTTTATTGACTGACTGAGTACCCTCTGCCCCTGGAGGCTCCTCCCTCTCTGATTGAAGAGGGTAGAGGTGAACATTTGAGAGCTCTTCTCAGATCCTCCATTTAATCCAGGGAGCCATTGCATCATTTCCCACCCAGCTGTACTCTAGGACTTCATTATATCCTTAGCACCCCCCCCCCCAGCTTCTTTTAATGTATTATCTTCTCCTATTAGCTTTTGAGCTGTCTGAGGGCAAGGACTGTTGGCTTTATTTTTTGTTTTTGGTATGCTTGTACTTAGCTTAGTGCCTGGCACATAGTAGGTACTTGATAAATACTGATTAATTGACCAGTCAAGGATTAAACCTCTATCTATAGTTCTCCAAGTCTGACTGTATGTCTACCAAGCCACACTATTAATATACCTGCATTGGGTTAATGAATTAGGGAAACCATAAGTGTGTAGAATGCAGGCTTTTTAATTAACTTCAACTTCTCTAAATTACTTTTTATATAGATTTTCATAGTTCACATTCATAAAACTACTCATGTCATCTCAGTAGATGGCCACTTTTATTCATCAATCTTTGAACATATATTGGGTAATTTCCTCTACAGTTGACTCTTAGAATAGGAACATATGATGCTGCATTCTTATTTCATGAATGAGATTGAAAATAGGCCCATTATTAATTCAGAAAAACATCAGTGCTATATTTTTTTTAAAATTACTGAGACAGCACATCTGGTTTCAAGATTGCGTTTTGAAAATATGAAAGGCATCATGTGTCCCATTTGTTATCTTTCCATTTTGGTGTTACCATTGATAATATTTGAGTATCCAAAGGCCATATAGTTGTATAATTTATTTGGCATTTGGAACACTTTTCAAAGAGCAAACATGCTTGCTTCCCTCATAGAACTTTTGTTCTGATAAGTGAGTGAAGACAGACAAAATTGTAAACAACAGAAACATAGGAATAGAAGTTAGACTATGATTTCATAGGTCTTGGGAGCTCCTGGCTGAGGAACTTCCTTTGCCAGTGTAGATCAGCACTTTCTCAGCAAATTATAGTTTTTGAGAGTTTCCTAAAACACTGAGAGATTAAGTGACTTGTCCAGGGTCACAGAGTCTTTGTGTGGCCGAGGCAGGACTGTACCTAGGGTTTTCCTTGTTTCAAGGCCTGCGCTCTCTCTACTATCCTACACTGCCTCTCCAACAGAAACACACTTGTTATAAAATTGAACTGAATATAGGGCTTTGATAGACTGAAGGGAGACAGTTGGGGAGATTACGTTACATATGACAGATTACAAAGGGAGGAGATTATTCAAGTTACTCCAAACATATGGAATCAAAGATCTGAATGTAGGAATAAAAAGCTTATATAAGTGGATCAGTAAGCAAGTATTCAGTGCTTACTATATTCCAGACCTTGTTCTGGATGTATCAATTCCAAAATGAGACAGTGCTCACAGGAGCTTACTGGAGGTATATAATTTGTTGACACATAAATGTAGGATGTATACAAAGTAAAATACACAGTGATGGTATAACTAACCACTCTGAGGTAATCGGAAAGGGCTTCTTGAATGGAGGAGGTGATAGTTAAGTTATGTCTTGAAGGGAGCTAGTGATTCCTAGAGAAAGAGAGAAAGGATAGAAAAACTTCAAGGATAGTCAGAGCTGGGTAAATACACTTAGATGGGGGAGAGAATGCTGTGTATATGGAACAGCTGAGAGACCCATGGCTGGAATATAGATTAGGTGAGGAGAAATAATATGTAACCAGTCTGGAAAGATAGTATGGGGCCAGATGGTGAAGGAAATTTAAATGCTAAACAGAGGAGTTTGTACTCTGTCTTCCAGGCAATGAGGGGTATGAAATTTCTTACTCAGGGGAGGAACACAGTCACACCTGTGTTTTTGTCATGTCATTTTGGCAACTGTGTAGAAAAAGACAGTGGTTTGGAGAGGGGAGAGACTGGATGTTGGGTGATTGATTAGAGGCTTACTTTGACCATCCCAGGAAGGAGGGAATAAGGGGCTGGCCTGGGGTGATTGTGGATTTAGGTCAGTAAATATTAATTGGTAACCATGTGCAGGGCTCTTTGGGCACCCTTGACATGGGGACACTTACCTTTAAAGTTGATAAAATGACTGTTCTTACTGAGAAAATCAAATTGATTTTGATTCCATTTTGTAATTAATTCTATTTGTATCATCCCCATGTTGCAAAATTTTGTAAGTCATGTTTCTTTGTCTCTGAGTTAAATTTAGCTCTTCAGCTTTCCTATCTCAGCTAAGTTGTTCCATAAATCACTTTAATTGAAAGAAATATATTATCTCCACATATCTTACTACTCATGTATGATTAAAAAAGACCTGTTAACTTGTTAACAGTTAGCCTTGCAAGATGGATGCCAGGAAGTCTGTTATCTCTGCCATGCTGATGTCCTTCAAGAAAGTCCGGACTATTATCCATTCAGGTGGACATCACTGATATATTTTCCCTAGAAACAAAATGGAAAGAAGGGTTGTTGCTATCCCTGCATTCCAAATTTACATTCAATCATATTGTTTTCTATCATCTATGATACTTCTGACTCTGTAACCAATCATACTGTTTTATGCTTCTTGTTCTTTGTTCTCTTGTACTTCCCAAAACTATATTAAGGCTGGTGAACCCTACCTCAAGGTCTTCGGTCATTGGTCATAGAGAGAGGCCATTGACCCAATGTATTGGTTACTGCAAGCCTAACTAATGAATTCATTATGCTCAGATAATTGTTTTTCAGTTAACATTAATTTTCAAATATAATACCGCCCTGGAGAAACTTAGAGCTTCAACTTTTGTCTATGAGTATTACACAAAGCATAATGTTACAGGAATTAAGAGCTAGGCAAAAAATACGATGAGAAATTTAGACAGATGTGTACTTCTATCTAGAATGCAGGGAGAGGTCAAGGATATCTTCACGGAGGAGGTTGCTCCTGAATTGGGCCTTAAAGGAAAGGGCGAGGTCTTTCTGACATGAGATGGGGTATAGAATAGGAACTGATAGTAAAGGCACAAAGATGGGGAAAAGGAGAGTGAAAGTAGAGATGAAGTGTAGTGAAGTGTTTGGTACTTGATGTGTGAAGAAAGGTGTGAGAGAAGACAGGACAGGTAGGTTGGAGCCAGATTGAATAATTCTGTAGACAATAGTATAGGAGTGATGAGATAGTGGTACATTAAGGGGCTACTCTTAATGTAGTAGCGTAGAGAATGGATTGGGAGAGTACAGAACAGAGTCCAGAAGATCAGCTACAATTCCCTGAGTCTAAGGGAGAAGAAATGAACTCTTGCCCCAGTAAGTTGCCTTGAGGAGGGACTTTTCGTGAGAATAATAGCCCTGCTTCTTATAAAAGATTTCTAGAATCATATGACAAGACAAAAATCTTGTCTCCTCCTTTTAGTCAGTTCTCTTGGAGGATGGTCAGGAGTGAATGTCCCAGTTTGTTTTATAAATTAGTGAAATCAGTTTGATGCTTTTTAATTGTTAATATTTGATATGGATTTTTCAGGACATTATATCTGGGGTGGTGGACAAAAGAGGTGGTAACAGGTTATTACTGTATTTTGGGCAGTGAGTTTTTCCTGTAATGTAAAATTCAGGATGTTAGGCAATTTGTTTGCTATTGGGATTTTCTGTTAATAGTAACGAGCAAATAATATCAGCATCATTGGTGAAGCCAAATTTCTTTCTCTTTATTTTGCAGTAGTATTATTGATTCCACAGAATACAGTCAACCTCCAGGTTTCAGTGGGAGCTCTCAGGTAAGAAGCTACATTAATTGTTCCTTTTTAACAAAGAAAAGATGGAAAGTAACCACTTAAATCTAAGAAATTTGAAACTCTTCTTCAAAATTCTAATTACATTAATAAACTTCCCTTTAAAGTGGTAATACTGTTTCAACAACAAATGTCAACAGATATTTATAAATTACTTACTGTGTACCGGGACATTATTAGGCATTAGGAACACAGAGAGGGGAAAGCAAAATAGTCTTTGCCTTCAGGGAATTTACAGTTCCAATAAGGGAAATATGACATTTACAGTAAGAAATATTATACAAGGTAGAATGTGACAGGATCAAACAACGCAGATTAAGACAAAATATTCTAGGATAAATGGAAAATTTGAACTTTTGTATCCTGAACAACTGTTATGGAATAGTGAGGAAAAAGATGAAATTATACTTCTGGTTCCTGCCAATTATGTCATTAAACTTTATAAAATAAAAGCACTTCTTACATCAGTATAGTCTTTACCTTGTTATGTCTAGTCCACATTGACTCTCTAACAATGATAAAGGAGTTTTGAACTTGCACATATGAGAATTGTGTAACCCATCAGGTTGAGATTTTCTCCATTAAATTAGTGAAATTTGAATGCTAGTGATAAAAACTGCTTTAAAACTATTGGGATAATCACTCCACTATTTAGATAATATTTTATATTTCCTTTGTCATCTTAAATGGTGAACTTAACTATGGAAAACATTTTGCAAAGGCTTGTGCTGGTGTTGAAAAACTATAGTTTAATCTCTGGAAACTTCTTTATACCATACTTTCCTCATCCATAATATGGGGATGATAGCACACTATATATCTGATTGGATTGTTGTGAAAATATAATAATAGTAAATGTTGAAAAGACTTGAAAGTAATAAATACGTGGATACAAGATGTGTTGTCTTAGAAGTAGTGAGAATTGTTTGCCTTTGATCATGTTGTATCTCTGTTATTCTTACAATTGTTTTGGTATGATTTTTATATGTTGATTGTATTGACCATTTTGTTTAGAACATAGTAAATTGAATATCACACTGAATCATTTTTCTTTCTTTGGGAGTTTCTTTTTCTTTCCTTATCATTTTAAGGAGTTTAATTGACTTAACCATAGACTGTTAATTTCAGTATCAGGAAATTTTTTAATGCTTGAGGTCAGATGTCAGACATAAATTGAACTATACTTTGAAAAAGTAAAGAATGTGCGCCTCTTAACTGCACATATATGTTGCCTGGTAGACTAAAGATAATATTAAAATACATTTTGAACAGGAGACATTATTTGAGAATTTATAAATACTTTCAGGTTCTTTCCATCTTTTTTTTAATGAGGAAGTTTATACTAGAACCTGGATTTTTAATCTGACACTAATTCTCTAGGTTAAGCATTTACTTGTTGATTAATATTTAAGCATACTACTTAACAAGATCTTGTGAATGAAGCTTCATAGTGAGTTGGATCCTGCAGTTTTTGGTTTGTATGCGTTCAGACAAGCCATTAAGTACTCTGACTCTTTTTAGGATTTATTCCCAGAGTTCAGTTGTATTGAGAGAAACCTGGTTCCATAGTTACTTGGTAAGTTTCTATTTTGCTCTTTAGTTGAAATCTTAGTAACTGGATTTGTGGAGTTTAAATGAGAATTGGTCTCTTAGTTTTCACATTTTGAAACAAGTTAAAATAGTTCATTGCTAGTTAATATAGTGCATAGGTATTTTCATGAAGATCTGCGTTCTCCCTTCCCTCCTTCCCCACCATTGAGAAAGCCAGAAAAACAAAATCTGTTACAAATGTGTAATCAAGCAAAGTAAAAGTCCTTTGTTGACCCTGTCTCCCCACCATTTTTTTTAATTTTGTGGGTTTTTTGTTATCTTTGCCAATATGGTAAGTATGAAGTAAAATGTCGAAGTTGTTTGAATTTCTCTAATTATTAGTGATTTAGAGCATTTTTTCATGTCAATTGAGACAATCCCTACTCTCATTGAGCTTAATTCCTTCTCTGTAAATAGAGAGAACTGGAGTAAATGGCCTCTGAAGACCCTTCCAACTGGAAATCTTTGATCCTAAATAAATATATTGTTTATATATGGTAATATATAAATAAAGAGGTAGGTGTTCCTTGTACCTATGAAAATGATGGAAGTCTTCAGGTATGAGGTGGCCTGAGCTGTGCTCACTTGCATTATTATTAATCATTGCAGAAAACCTTTGGACAGAATAGAACATTTATGTTAATACTAAAAGAACTCTTCCTTAATATCAGTTAACAAATGTGTTATGTACCTACCATGTGCCAATAACTGTGCTAGACAGTAGGGTACAAATATAAAGAAAAAATCGCTTCTCTCAAGGAAAGATAAAAAATATTTACATAAAACCAAGAGCAAGCATTATTTTTTATGCAAAAACATTGAAACCTTTCCCAAAAAAGGTCAGTGGTAAATCAAGAATGTCCCATGTCTGCACTATTATTCCATATTGTATAAGGAATGCTGCTGGTTGTAGTATCAACATGGGAGATATAAATTGTGGAAATAAGTATAGACAAAATGGAGGTAAATTATGTCTTATTTGCAGATATTATGATTTTTTTTCCCCCCTGAGGTCAGTTTTCTTCACAGTTGAGCTTGAACCCTTCTGGGAGGACAAGGCTTGACCCAGAGTCATGGTAGCCAGTAATAGAGTTGTTTCCAGTACAACCACACCTATTCTTATACCTCGAGCATTTTCTCATTCCTTTCTACTCTCTTCACTGTGAAAGTTCCCAGCTTCCTCCTTCTGAACTCCTCCACTTCTAAACTAAGCCTGAGTACACACAGAAATTGGTGTGCCTCAACACCACTGGGAAAATTCTCTTTCCCCTTAGCCATAGAATCCCTATCCCAAGGTCCCGAGATCATCCCGTGGATGTGTCAGGTACTCCTTAGAGGGCTTCTCTGTACCCTGGGGCAGTAAACAGTGAGAAAGATTTTCTTCCTCACTGTCTCTCACTCCTCCTTCATCCTTCCTATCCAGTCAGCTGCAGGGTGTAGGGTGTGTTCAGGGAAGACTAGTGCCTGTTTGGTGAGGGCTGCTTTCCACCTTTGGTGTATTCACCTGACTCTAACCTGTGGCTCCAAGGAGCTGTAGTGTGTGTAGCGTTCACAGCCCAGTAAACCATTTGAGCAGACAGGCTAAACCAGGTTGAGCAATGGTCACTTAACTACTGAAGACTTGTGCATCTCATGACGTTTTCATCACCAGCACTATCTTCCATTTACATAAATGCAATAAAATTTCACAGATGCACCTTTGCAGCAAAATTGGCATTTAATAGACTGTGCCATTGTAAGGAGAAGAGGACAGGATGTGAGAGTGATGAAGGCAACATGTAGTGTAGAATGTTAGATTGATCATAGACTTAGCCTCTCCAAGCTAAGTATTCACATTCAACAAAAGTGGTGGCTGTAAGGCAAGACGAGATTAGAGCACTTCTTTGAGCGTCAGCAGTTCATAGCTAACTTGGAGCAAAAGTTGAGTCCATGGAGCCAAAAAGGAGTGGGCAGCTTTCAGAGTGTATTTGCTTATCTGGGTCAGAGCACTCTCAAACATCAAGACTGGTTTGGTGAATATGGTGGAGAAATTCAGAAGATGCTAATTGAAAAAATGAGAACTCTACAGGGTTTGTTTACCAGCAGGATAGTTCATCCGTCTCTATGAAGGCAGCATTTAAGTGAGAAACATCAGAAGTAAAGTACAAGTGAAGATTGGAGATATGCAGGATTTTTGGATCAGTAAGAAGGCAGATGAAATTCAGTTTTACGCTGATAGTAATGATCCCAAGTGCTTTTATGATGACCTGAAAGCTGTTTATGGTGAATCTCAACTACTCTGTGCTGTTGGAGCTGTGTTGATTAGTGATAAGGACATGATCCTGGAGAGATGGGCTGAACACCTCCATAGTCTTCTCAACAGTCCATCATCAATCAGTGCTGAAGCCACTGACTATATGCCTCAGGTTGAAGTCAGTCCCTGTAGCCAGATTTCCTACTGAAGAAGAGGTTTTTGATGCCATTAGGCTCCTTTAGTGTGGCAAAGCCCCTGGTGCTGATTCTATCCCACTGAGATTTATGAGGAGGTGGGTCCATTGCTTGTACAAAAGTTGGCTGAAATTTTCCAGATTACATGGCAAGAGGAGATTATCTCCCAGGAGTTCAAAGACGCCTCCATCTCTGTAAAGGTAAAGGAAATAGATTGTCCTTTGACAATCACAGGAGGGTCTCTCTCTTAGTCATTACTGGCAGGATTCTTGCCAGAGTCCTCCTCCTGATCCTTCACTTGGAGGATGGTCATCTATCCGACAGCCAGTGTGGCTTTAGAAAGGGCTGAGGAATGGTTGATACAGTGTTTGTTGCCTGACAACTCCAGGATAAATGCCAGAAGCAGAACAGAGATCTGTATACAAACTTCATTGATCTGATCAAGGCCTTTGATACTCTCAGTCTTTAGGGCTTATGGAAAATTATGTCAAAATTTGGTTACCCGGATAAATTCATCAGTGTTGTACATTAATTTATGACGGCATGTTTGCTTGGGTTCAGAACACTAGATGGTGCTCTTGCAGTCACCAGTGGAGTGAAACAAGGCTGTGTGCTTGCTCTCATGCTTTTTAGCATGATGTTTTCAGCAGTGTTGTCAGACACCTTCAATGAGAGTGAATACAGCATCAAGGTCAGCTGCCACACTGATGGTAGATTATTTAATTTGAAAAGGCTGCAAGTCAAGACTAAAGTGGAGGGAGAGTTGGTGCATGATTATTTTGTTTGTAGTTGATTGTGCACTCAATGCAGCCTCTGAAGCTGAGATACAACAAGGTATGGAATCCAATCTCTGACACTTGTCCTAATTTTGGTCTAACTAGGAAAACTCAGGTGCTTCACTAGCCAGCACCACACCATCTGTACATGGAACCATTGGTTACCGCAAAATGAGAAGTTTTGAATACTGT